GGCGGCCCGGGCGGGCGGTCTGACCCTCTGCTCTGCCCGCAGATGGCCGGGTGCGTGTCCAGGGTGGAGCTGTCCGTGTCCTGCCGGAGCCTCCTCGACAGGGACCTGGGCTCCCGCTCGGATCCCCTCTGCGTCTTGCTCCAGGATGTGGGCGGCGGCCAGTGGGTTGAGGTAAGGGCGGCCGTCAGCCCCCGCTTTGCCGTCGGGTGCAAACACGCCGGGTTTTCCCCGTTTCCATCCCGTTGGTTTTCCTAGCGGGTGCACGATACGTTTAATTCAGATTTGCATTCAATCAGCATCCCCGATGCCCACACTTAAACTCTGTTTGGAGTTTTACGTTCATAGTTTCATTAATTGCTCATACATTTGCTTAGAGTTGCATCAGGACATTCGTTTGCCTGTTACGGTATGGCCTGTCCTCTTTCCTTTACCCCAGAGCACGCAGTCCAGAATACAGTGTTTCACCAGCCTTTTTATCCCTAACTTTCAGAATTTTCCCGTACAGTAGTGTTTATTATCGCATGCAATTTCGTTTCCTGGTGAGCCGTCGGTCAGCCTGGCGGCAGTGGCCTGGTTCATCACCAAGCATGAAGCACAGTCCGGGGTGCATGTGTTCTGGTGCTTGTGTTCAACCAGCACAGAGGCCCAGGGGCACAGATTAAACGCTAGGGGGGAGAAAGCATGGTTCTTACTCGTCATCAACGGCTTTGCTTCCGTGTTTGTGCAGCTGGATCGCACAGAGAAGATCAAGAACTGCCAAAACCCTGAATTCTGCAAGAAACTGATTGTGGACTACTACTTTGAGAAAGTGCAGAAGCTGAAATTCGGCATGTATGATATCGATAACAAGTCCTTTGATTTAAATGACGATGACTACCTCGGAGGGATTGAATGCACGCTGGGACAGGTACGTGTAGAGGTGTGTTAAGTGATTTACAAAGTAGCAGCAAGCGTTGGGTTTATTACGAAAAATGGGGTGAAAGACTGCTTTATCAAAGGCTTTGACACATTCAAATTTGAAAACATCTTGTTGAACAGGTTAGTTGGCATTACTATTGAATGTAGTTATAAAAATCAGTGTCAATCACAAAGTGAAGGTTAGAAATAATACGTTTGCCATTAATTGCTTAACTTAGGAGGCGCTTGTAGCACTAAAGGCAGTCTGGGAGTAAGGAAGGCATGGTGCTTGGAGAGCTCCAATGGAGTTTCCTTTGCACGAAGTGATCATCAGGCAGTAAATTTGGGGAAATAAGGCTTATTTGAGATTCTATTTTCATTTCCTGAGGAGGGGTTTGTATAGCAAGCAGGAGAAGAAAAATGGGGTTTATGTTAGTAAAGAAAGACTCGATAAATTAAATAGTCTTTTCTGATTTTCCATAGCTTTTTTGCTACTCGTGATGAAAATGCATCTTGTGTCTCAAGGGTAGCAAAAATAGGAGGCTAAAGTTAAGTTTGGAGACATGGTAGTGGGTACTGTTTTGTGGATAATGAGAGAAGATAATTTTCAGACTGTTCAGCCATTCAGGAACACAAACTCTGATGGCTGTCACTGTTGGAAATGCATTTAAATCCTTTTAGATCTTTTAGGACAGTTTGAAAATTTTGCTCCTCAAGAGTAATTCTTTGCTCTTTGTCTAACTTGATATTTATATTATTTGTCTTTTAACCTTAGGTTGTGTCCAGCTCAGTGTTCACGCGACCACTGGAATTGAAGCAGGGAAAGCCAGCAGGAAAGGGCACCATTACGGTAATAAGGTTTTTGTGTGGAAAAAATGGTTTCTCATTCTTTCATGTGTTGTCTGAGACAAAGTAACATTTCTGGTTTTCTGTCAGTGTATCTTCAAATGCTACACATGTACAGGAAAGATAGATATTTGTAACTACAGTTTCTTTCATGGACATGGTATGAATAAAACTCTGAGGTTTCTTGTTTAATTTATTTATTTATTTATCTATCTATTTTTTTTTTTTTCCAATTTCTGTGGCACAGATCTCAGCAGAGGAGATTAAAGATACCAGGGTTGTGTTCTTGGAAATTGAAGCCCGAAACTTGGACAAAAAGGTATTTTTTGAAATTGTATTGCATGCTTTTGCGATATTTACAGTTAGTGCCTTTTGGCCAGGAATCTCTCTGTACTTGCAGACATTCAACTAAGCTAGGTAATCTGTGTATGAAAAAAGGCTCACTGTGTTTCGTTACTTACAGTGAAGTAAACTGGAGACATAATTTCATATTGAAAACCACGATGTCAAACCAGAAACTCAACTGCCAGGTTTAGGTTTTGCGGGATTATTTTGGCTTTGGAATATTCTGTATATTAATACAGTTCAACTACGTAATTGTCTCTGATGAATATTGTAGCTGCGAACTGAGCTTTCTGTAATGTTATTAAGGAAGAAAAAGTGGAAATTTAGGTATGCTGCCTTGATGTTATTTTAAGCCAAAGACCGTTCCAGGGATTTAGTGATCTCGTTGCTCAGTCAGCAAAGTGACATGATTTATGGTGACAAAAACGGTCTGATGAGGCGGTCTTGGAATCAGAATTGATAAATTCTGATAACTTAGAAAGTGCAGCAGTTTAAAAGAGAAAAGTAAAATAAAAGCGAGGAAAACAAATGTATAGTTTATTTGACTTTGTGCTTTGTTTGAAGTATTGCGTACTGATTAGCCAGCTCTTCTCTCATCTGTGTAAAATATAGGAGGCTGATTACTTCTGTTGGGTTTTTGTTTGCAGGATTTCTTAGGTAAATCGGATCCATTTTTGGAGTTTTACAAGCAGAGTGATGCTGGAACGTGGCAGCTGGCGTACAGATCAGAGGTAGTATTTCTATGCTAAGTTACTCCTACTGAAAGTGGGAGTCCCACTCCTGGTCATGCTTTGCACCAGTTCTGCAATGAAAATTACACTGACCTGGCAGAAAATTGTTTATTTGCTGCCTGGGGACTGGATTAAGCTGGCTCAGTGAAGAGTCCAACCATGCACCAAGTGAGAAGAGTGGCAGGACTCTCCTCCTTTCAGTGGTGATGAGCTGTTACGTTGGCTTGGCTCTAAAATTTAACCCTGAACTTCAACCTTCTATTTCTTAGAGAGCTTTTGCGTGGCCGTCAGTGCATGTCAGGGTTGAACTGACTGAGTCTGTTCTTAGACAGCCGTGCAGAACCCTCATGTTGTGTTTCTTAGTGACTTGCACACCGCATCCCTCACATGATATGCTGTAATTTTTTTAAGGTGATTAAGAACAACTTAAATCCATGCTGGAGGAAGTTCAGTGTTCCCTTGCAGACGTTCTGTGGTGGAGATTTTAATAAATCTATCAAGGTACAACCTTCAGAAATTCTCTTTGTTTGTTGTTATAAGTAGTCCAATCTCTGTTGATGTTAACTATGAGTTATCAGGTTGTCTAGTCATATTTAAATTTTTAGATGGCCTTTCTAGAATAGTAGTGTGGCAGATAAGTGATTATATGTCTATTAAGTATGAAGTCTGTATTAAAACATCATGAGTTATCAAATTGAGAAGTCAGGAAATGCAGAAGTGACACACTTTATAATGATTAATCATAAGAAGAATTATAACTGAGTTTTCCACTATTCTGGCCAGGGTTTCAGATTGGGTTTTGGTGGGGATTTTTTTGGTGGTGTTTTTGTTGTTGTTGTTGTTTTTTGTTTGTTGTGGTTTTTTTTGGGTTTTTTGTTTGTTTGTTTTTTGAATTGTGGCTTTCTAGCACTGTTTCTAAGTTAACCGAGAAGCTCATATATGTTGGACAAGTTTGAGTGCTTTAGGATACTGACATAGAGAGGGCTGACATCTGTCAGATTCATCCGTTCATGAGACTGGCAGGCTTGTCCCAACTCCTTTTCAATCTGTTCCAACTAGAAATTTGGTTTTGAGTCAGAAATGCAATTCCTTGTGGTCTTTTATATGATGATTAATTCTCGCTGCTCCTGGCTTATGGAAGTGGTAGCAGAACAATTACATCTTTTAATACATTTCTACAAAAGAAAATCTGTTAGCAAATTAATTTGTTAATTTCTGTTCTAAGCAATACGTTGATAATGTAAAGGCATTTAAATCCATAGATAGTTCTGTGTAAGTATAGTCTCTCTCTGCTTATCCAACTCCATTTGCAGAATTTTCCTGCCTCATCCTGTCTGTGAAGAAATCTCATGCTGGAAGTTCAATCTGAAAGATTTAGTAAAAAGCGTGCATGCTAATGTTTTTATTTGTGCAGCATGACAGGTCCAAAGAGTTACTGAGATTATTAACCTGGAAATGAATGTTCAGGTGTGCTGGGCTTGTTGATACGTGGCAATGTTGTAAGTGGTGTTCATGAGCTTTTATTGTTGGGGAATCAACAGTCTTGGGTCAGAAAGAAGTCCTCTTGGTCCAAAAGTAAGCAGCAAATGTGGAAAGGAGATGGCAAGGAGATGCATATTATCATTTGTCAAAACTGATTCGAGATGGCATGGTTTACACATCCTATTACATGAGGCTATATTTGCTATACTCCAAAAAGATTTGTGTGGTTGGATTCTTTTTTTGTTTTGTTTGTTTGGGGTTTTTTTTGCTTTTGGTTTGTTTGTTTGGTTTGTTTTGGGGGTTTTTGTTTGTTTGTTTTCTGGAAGCTTTCTGTGCTTTAGAATTCACTTTGGAGTGACCTGCTTCTTAAAAAAGGATAGATTTTTGCTGTTAGTTCTTTTCAGCCAAAATTCTCGATGCATGTGCAAATAATCTATTAAGTTTCACAATGCAGCTGTGAAAAAGGATTGTACTGTTCTTGTACTTAACAGGTTAGGGAAGTCAGTCAGATAGGGGAATCCAGGCTGACAGGCAGCAGTTTCTTAGTTCTTCACTAGAGAATATAATATTGCATTGGTGTTTCATCTGGTATTTGCTGCTCTGAACCTCTTGTTTGAGGCTTCAAAAAATTTATGTAGGAACAATTACATGCGAAATAACGGTAGTCAGTGAAGGGAGAACTGCTTGTACTTCAGCACAGTGGAAACAGCCATTTTGGTGCGTCCCCTAAACGTCAGCTTTGCCAGCTATGTATGAGGATTGTGTACTGAATACGTGCGTGAACATAAATCTTTTGATCAAATTAACGATGCTACCTAATATTTTGGTAATTCTTTCTTCATTGTGATGCAGAGTGATGTTCTCCTTGTTCTGTGTTAAGAACAGCTCAGATTTGTGACACAGCCTAATCTTGACAGTTTTGTTAAAAATAGGGGCAAATGAAAGTAGCATCTCTCCCCCATAGTTATTTAAATGGAAATAGCAAATGTGAAATTTGTGGGTGTTGGTATTGGGACTAAAGCTGCCAGTCCATGTATTTGGTGACATATACATAAAGGCAAATCCATTTTCTCTGAATTTTGAAAGGTCCTCCTGGAGATGAAAGGGGCCTTTTACCCGCTGACTGTATTCCAAGGCTCGTAATGAATATTGGATAGTTCATTTGCAAAGAAACAATTCATCAGTAAATAACTATATACAGTGTCCTGCAGTATTGCTGGTAGGATTTTGTTTGCAGCAGCATCATGCTTTGGGCTGCATACAGTGAATCTTGGCCAGTTTTAGAAAACCCTTGCAAAAAGAGGTTTGTTTTAAGCCGTATCATGCTGTGAACTAATAACGAAACTGGTCCTGGATACAATTTTATTGGCGTGGTTGAGAGTGGGAGCGGGAGCAAGCAGGAGGGGAGAGGAGGTGCGTGGAGGTGGCAGCTGCTGAATTCTCTGCAGCTCTCCAGGTGTATTGGTGCAAAGGAGACCCTGCACCGGGAGTCTGCACCCTGGCTTCTGCATGAGAGCCTTCTTCGTTGGCCTCCCTGGCATAATCCGGTTGCTTTTGGGTGGTGTTTAAACATCAGAGTTGTTGAGAGAGGTGGAGTGGATTCAGGCAGGAGGGTGGGAGTTGCTTCATGGTGGAGCGTGCAGAAGAGAGGAGTGGAAAGGCGGTGGGTTGGGAAGGATACAAGGGGAGAAGGGGAGCACAGTCTCTAAGGTGATCTTGTTTTCCCATTAAGAGACTGAAGGATGACACGGTGCTTCCCATTTAGGTGGCTACATTAGGCCATAATTCACTCGGCTTTTTGTCCAGGTTTCCCACTCATACCAGTGGCAGATCCCTAGTGGATCAAAGTAGTCCTAGAAGAACCCTGTCTCAAATTCAGATATCTAGCCATTGAATTTGACATCCTTATCGAGGTGTTACCCATGGGTTCATCTTGTCCCTTCGTCCTGAGGAGAAAGCTGTCACTGTGGTTTATACTGGAGTAACATCAGTTCCTTGATTACTAAAGGCAGATCTCGGAAAGAGAGAGCTTTTAAATCTGTGTAGCATGTGAACTTCAACAGGGGAGGAAGCAGCTGTTCACAAACTTGATTGACCGCTTCTGGAATTACTTGTGTTCGGCAGTCGTGTGTATTGTGCATGTTATAAATGCTCCTCATAGCTGATTTTGTGGGGAGCTATTGACAATATATGTCTTACAGTGTTTGCTCTAAGCCATAGTTATTAGCATATTTGTATTTTTAAATGCATTGCTCTTTTGCATTATCTAGTTCTGAAGCTTTCATGCTGATTTAAACATGACTGGTTATTAATTAAGTATTTATAATTGATTGGTATAAGATGCAGAAAAAGACAGACAGTGCTCTGTGGGAATGGCAATTTCTTTGTAAATTGATGCTATTGCTGAGCAGAAGAAAAGAGTATATTCAGAAAGTGCTTAGACAACAAACTTTTAATTGCTTGTTCCCATTACCCCAGTTGCATATCTTGTCCTGAATGATCTCGCATTTATACATCTGGGCTGTGAAATGTTGGGGGTTTTTGTGGTTTTTTGTTTGTTTGTGTTAATCTCTTGTGTTTAACCTGGGGAAAGCTTTTAATTAAAACTTTCACTGTGCATACTTAAATGGGTGAGCAATTGAACATCTTCCTTTTTGTGAGATTCACTCTGGGTGTCTCGCTTACTATCAGATTTCAGTTAGTGATACGGATGACACCACCAGTTCAGATGCGATAGGGGAGTTCGCTAGCATCGCTGCAAAGCTGTCGGAAGCAGGAGATCACGTGGTGAGCAGCTGCTGTTCTCCCTAGTGCAGTACACTTGCCCATTGCTTGCTCTCTCTTCCCTTTCAGGTACAGTGTGCAGATCACGACAGCGACGGGTCACATGACTTGATAGGCACTTTTGAAACTAACCTGACTCAGCTGCAGAAAGCGGGTGACGGCTCTCCGGTGAGCTTTCTCAGTCCTCTGCTTAGTCCATAATTCAGCCTTTCACAAACCCTTTTTAATATTGACGTCAGAGATACAGTCTTAGTTGTCGCCTCCAGAAGTGAATTTTTCTCTCTGTATCTTTGTATTACTAAGCCAACATCTGGGAGTAATAAAACCTGGTGTGGGAATTATATTGCTCTGTTTTCCTTGGGTACCATTACCGTTCATATTCCTAAAGACTTCCTTGAGCCTGTTGTCTGCTGACCGCCAGCCACTTTTCCCAGCAGTTCAGCTTGCTTTTGCCTCTGCTGAGTCAAGTGGAAATGAAAGGGCTTGTTCATGCTTTAACAGACAAGTCCAGAGGTAGGGCTTGTCTCAGATAACGTTTGTGCTTGAGCTGGTTGCCCTCACAAGCACTCTGGTCACCTTTCTAGATAATGGAGAGAAGCAGTGCTTCCAAGGGGTGCTCTTCTTACCTTGTCTTGGGCATTCAGTTTAGGATAAGTTCAATCATTTGCTGGTGGTGCCTGTTTCTCTCTATTGTCTGCAGTGAAAACCTGAACTCTCGTTCTCATGGAGATGTCTTGTCTGAATTCAGACAAGTAAATCTGCACACAGGACGTAGCCAAGGACTGCTTCCAATTGCCAGCCAACTTGATTTCTGTGGTTGTAATCCTAAAGCTGGTGGAAGCCTCTTGTCTTTTTCCCTAGCCCATATGAAATCAGAACTAATGCGAGTGAAACAAAGCAGTGAAACACCGCCACTGGGAGCCTGCCACCTAGGCTTTTTTGGCCTCCCCCACCCCGAGGTTTTGCCTCCTTATCTTCTGTTTGAGTGTATTGCCTTCCCTTAACGGAAAAAGAACCTGATTATGTTAAGAGAAATGCTTGTATTTGTGATCGACTTTTTTCCCTCTGATACAATGACACTGTTCCATGATTGCATAGAGAATAACAGTTACATTGTTGAGGAGAGAGACTTTTCTGAGGTCTTTCCTTGTGTTTTGCCCAGCGCTGTTTTGCCCAGTAGCAAAAGTATCCCATTTAACTCGCCAGATAGCAGCCAAAGTAGTTGCAAACATTTTTAAAATTAAGTTTCAGAATTCTGCCACATATTTGGGTAACTCTGAAATTGTGTGATGTCTGACACCATTCTGTTTCAATAATTTGCCCTGCTGTAAATGCAGATATTTTGGAACTTGCTTCTTGCATGCTTGCTTTCTGTAGGTGGAATTTGAATGCATTCATCCTGAGAAAAAACAAAAGAAAAAGAGCTACAAAAACTCTGGCATTATTAGGATAAAATCCTGCAAGGTAGGAAGATTTTTGTTGGGTTTTGGCTTTTTTATTTTCTGATTGTAATGAAATCTGTTGTTGTGGGGAGGAGTAACACTGTCTGTCTGCTCTAGATTGAGACAGAATATTCGTTTCTGGACTACGTCATGGGAGGCTGCCAGATTAACTTTACAGTGAGTTGTTTCCCCACTGCACATCTTGGTAGATGACAGGACAAGAGCAATGAGGTTGTGATTAGTACTTTTATTTGCAGTGTGAATGACTGCAAATGCTGTGTGAATTTGCGGTGATGAAGACTGCAAAAACCAAATTATATTATATTTTTACTTTTTGTGATCAAGTAGCAACTTTAATGGAACTAGAGTTTCTTAAACTTTTTTTGAAAAATCGGTTCAGTCTATCAGTGGAAAGGAGTACTACTTCTTAAACATGTATGTACCCCAGTGGGAAAAGGTACGCAGGCTTGTTTGCCTGTCCCTGTATGGGGCTGCCTGCGTGCCTGGGAGGAAGGGGGCTATGTGGGCCTGGACTAACACTCTGTTTCTGGGTATGGTTAGTTCTTCTCATTTGCTTGTGGTGATGCATCAGTGACTTGCTGTCATCATCTTGACTAATTAGGTGGGTGTAGACTTCACTGGCTCCAACGGAGATCCCAAGTCACCAGATTCTCTTCACTACATCAGCCCAGATGGGATAAATGAGTACCTGATTGCCATCTGGAGTGTGGGAAGTGTAGTCCAGGATTATGACACGTATGTAATGAACTTAAGTGATCTAGCCACCTCATCAAAAATGTGTCTCAGCAGGTGTCAGTGACCAAGGCTGATAGCTTGTTCCAGAGCTGTAGTGTTTGAATGACTGAGGTGCTACGTTTCCTTGGGAGATCCCTTCAGGAGCTGCTACTGCTTCCTCCTGCTTCTGTGACTGCCAGCGGGGGCAGTGGCAGCCCTTTGTACTTTGTCATATTTGCTTGATATGTCCCTCCAGGTCTGCCCTTTCATGGCCCTGGGTTACTCTGTAATGCTGCTTTAGCTGGTCACTAATCTCTCGTGGCTGATGGTGCATTTCAAACATGAACGCCCTGTTTGATTCAACGGGAACATGTTTGTCAGCTCTGTCCTTCAGCCAGGCTGTTGGGTTGGCTTTTCTCTTGCTACTTGGAAATCTCCTGAGAGTCCTGTGGGGTGCTGCACTGAAAGAAATTCTGAAACTCGAGCACAAGCCTGCAACCCTTGGGTAACTGGTGGCTGGCCATGGGGAACTAGATGGTGTACCCGTTCCTTGTGGCAGGAATTGAACCTTGGTCTCCAGCTGCTTTCTGGGAATAAAACAAAATAGCGAGTTATTAAAGAATTGCTCTTTCTCATTTCTTGTTGTTGCCCTTTCTCTCCAGGGACAAACTGTTTCCTGCGTTTGGGTTTGGAGCTCAGGTTCCTCCTAGCTGGCAGGTAGGGCCTTCACAACGCTGGGCAGTTATTCTGTCTGTGTCTGCATTCCGTAACTCTTTGCAGTGTCCCCTTTCCTAGGTATCTCATGAGTTTGCTTTGAACTTCAACCCCAGCAACCCTTTTTGTCAAGGTGAGGACACCTCTTTATTAATATTTCACTGAGAGGGACAGATGTTTGAAGTGTTGTATTTCTTTTATAACTGGTGAAAAACAGATGCAGCACCAAGACATGCAGCAAACTAGATTTACTCTCACCTGGATGCTGACAAGAGTGGATGTGTGTTGATGCAGACTTCTGTGTGGTCTACGTAAGCTCCAGTGAAGGGGTTTAGATTTAATTTGATTGTTAGCCTGTGCTGAAATTTTTGTTGCTGCAACTTGGTTACTTCTGGTATGTTATCTCAGTCCAGTGCAATTCAGATCAGCAATGTTCCTGTGCTAGTCATGCTTCCAGAGCGACCATCTGTTGAGGCTGTTAGAGACCATCGTTACTTCATCAGCAATGTGTATATGTTTGAATGTTATCTTTTAAAGCATTGTCTTAAAAGCTTATTCGCTTTATAGCTGCCATCTTTAATGGAGGTTGTTTCAGCTGTTTTTAATGTCTGCTCTCTAAGCTGGATTATGACCTTTTAGGACTAAGAACTCTCTCAGCATGCAGTGACACAGAATTGTTCTTGAACAAGGATTTTTAACTTGGTTCAGTTTTTCTCTGTGGTCTAAGGCCAACAAAAAGTGGAATCTGAGATTCAGTGTTAAAATCCAAGCATTTCCTCTGTCAGTTTGGCATTGTCTGCCTCATTGGGATCTGTGTCTTTGCTCTTTAAGAGTCCCTGTGCAGTAGTTTTGAGAGTTACCGCACTAAAACCTGCATGATGGAAAATGCATGCAGTGGCAAATGAAGCTACATTGATACAAGCCAGGAATAGGCCAATTTAGATGGATCCATAGAAGAATATGCACCATTTAAAATTGGACTTTTTAAAAAATTTTGTTTAGTTAACCTGAGAAAAGCTGCTTGCATAGGAAAAAGCTTAGGGATTGCTATTTCTGTTACAGAAATGTTTGAATCCTGAATCAGGGATCATTGTCTAAGTTTCATGCAAGGAAAATAAAAAGTTACTGTTCCAGAGAGCTTCTGACCTTGTTGTGGATAAATTAGACTATAAGCAATTAAACAAGACAAATTGGATGACAAGGTAGAAAGAACAAGGTAAACATAGTCATCAGCGTGCCTTCACTAGATTATTTTTCCTGCAACTTCCATGAGCTTTGTGATGTTAGAGGCACAGCGAGTAATGTGAAGAATGTAAAATGGGGGAGAAATCTGCAAATCCTGTCTCTGCAGGTGTCCACTGGTTTCAGCCCTGTGCTTTGTATATTTGCTGTTATCCTGCTGCTTATTTGTCCTTTAGGAGTTCACAGCTGTGTGAGAGTTATTATCCTTTTGCCGTACTATTTAGTAATGCTTATAAAATAATTACTGGAGAAGTTGTGAGGCTCTTGTGGCAGCTTGCCTTCCTTGCGTTACAGGGATCCAAGGAATCGTGGATGCCTACCGCCAGATCCTTCCTCAGATCCAACTCTATGGGCCAACCAATTTCTCTCCTATTATAAACCATGTGGCAAGGTTTGCAGCACACTCAGCACAACAAGGAACTGCTTCAGTGAGTGCATCTCCTTTCCTATGGATCTGCGTTGGGTTGATGTTTCTGTTTTCCATGTTCATGATAGGATAGAATGGAATGGTAAGGTGATGTTGTCTTCCTTCCTTAGGATCCCAAGTTTGGTCCTCTCCTACCAGCCTACAGAGAGGCTGTTGGTACTCTCTTGGTACATATTGATATGAACCTGTACTTGTTAGACATTGACATTAGTTTCCATTGCTCAAGTAATATTTATTTCTCCTTTTCATAGTTTGCTGGCATTGTACTTACTATTGAAATATAGAGGGGTGCTGTGCTGGCTTTTAGACCAGTTGAACTCTGTCAGCAGTTGCCTCGCTCTAACCTCTCTTGCCAAGCTCCGTCACCTGAAGGGAATGCATACAGTATAGAGGGGCTCTATATATTTTATTTCAAACAATTTTGCTCTCAAGAATGTACACAAAAGACTGCCTCCAAGAAAAATATCAGAGGGCTCAACTACCTGTCCCACCATGATGGCATGCAGAATCAGGGTATCTAGAGGGCCAGATTGACAAAGGAGTCTGAGAACTGTTACATCAGTATGCTAATTGCATTGCAGAGCATCCATGCTACCCTACAGTTGTGTTGCATGTCTCATTTGTGTGCTTGCGTGGCCATGGCTGCTGTTAAAATTCAACTCTGTTTCTTTAAACTTCATTCCTTTTGCTTAAGGATGAAGGACTCCTATTTCCTGATAGGTTTAATTGATTGCATTTTGACAGACGAATCAGAAGGAATTTTGATGTACACTCTGATACTTGCTTTATGGTCTAGCTGTGTCAGTATTTTTGGTTCTAGTTATGTTTGTGTGTACGTTGAATACACTTCCTACACTGTGAGGTGCTTGGTCTAGGGAGATGCATTTCTTACATTTCTGAGGGTATTTTTTAGCCTTCCCAACACTTGGGGGAATCTTCTTATTTCTCTTTATATTTTAAATATCTCCACTTTTTCTTACAGATGAAAAACTAACTATTTAAACAAAGGATCTGTCAGTAATGGGGTACAACCATAGTAAAACTTGTGTTAACTGGATTTTGGAATTGGAAGTTCAGTTTTCTTTTATTTTCATTGTGTGTGTATCTCATTTTTTATTTTCATTTTAAGTCTGTAGATAGCTGCCATAAAACAGTGGTTGCTCATTTCAGAACCAGGTACTAAACCTTAGCCTCTGGAAAAGGAAGGAAATTTTAAACACTTTACCATGTTAATCTGTTGGTTTGAGGCGGTTTTTTCTTTCTAGAAAAGCTCTTGTATTCTTCCCCTTTTGTTATCTCTGTGTCTTTGTGTCATGACATTTGTCACTGCTGTATTTTGAGATTTCTAATACTTATAATTTAAATTATTGGTAACTAAAAAAGAAGACTCTGAGTTACACTCTAGGAATATTAAATATTAAATTTTAGCCTTTTTGAGATGTCAGTGAGTAAAGCAGCATCCATCAGTGAATTTTATATGCAGCTTTGTTGATTTAGTAGTACTTTGCTCATCTGCCAATTGTTACAATTGTTCTTTATGAATTGAATTTAAGCCTCTATATTTTTTCTAGTACAGAGGACATCTGAAGTGCACAATGAAAGTCTTATGCATATGAAAAAATGGGAATAAACAAAGTTTCTTTAATGTTCTAGTTTTGTCTTATCCACAGCACCATCTGATTTCTTTCTTAGAGTAAGAAATTGCTCCATTATGTGAGCTTTCGTGTTGAACTCCCTAACATGGTTTCTAATGTTTTTCAGCAATATTTTATCTTGCTGATCATCACAGATGGAGAGATCACTGATCTGGACCAAACTAGGCAAGCAATTGTTAATGCCTCCAAGCTGCCGATGTCCATCATTATTGTTGGAGTTGGTGAAGCTGATTTCAAAGCAATGGAGTTCCTTGACGGAGACAACGGTGTCCTGAAGTCCCTGACAGGAGAGCCAGCTGCACGAGACATTGTCCAGTTTGTGCCTTTCCGACAGTTCAAAAATGTAAGTTGCCTTTAACTTCAGAAGAGTCCAGTTGCCAGTACATATGCAGTTATTACATCAAAAAAATGAGCATGGGTCTAGACAAGGCAGCAAGCTGCATGCTCAAAGTTCTGTCCAAGCTGCTTGTTCCTAGTGAGAGTTGAAATGTTTGCTTCTGTATTTGAAACTGCGTGCCTTGTTGCAGCTCTCTTGCAGCTTTTCTTAAAGAGCTCTTGTTGTATCATTGATTTAGTATACTGTCTCTTAGCTATTGTAAAGTTAAAGGAGTAAAGGAGATGTTTTCTCTTCTGGGATGCAAACATTTAGGCAAGGAACTGAGATCATATTGTCAGTCTCTGATGTCAAGTCCCATGAGTGATTTAAGCTGAGATAAGTCTTCCCTGCTGTTGAAAGCATTTCTGTCATTCCCCAGCTCCTCCCTACTTCCACTGTTGGCACTAGCATTCATGCACGTTGCACAGTGAATTGGGTTGATGAGTGGCATCCAATGAAAACCCAAAATAAGAGCAATTGCTGGTGGCTGGGGCAGTTTCCCACCCAGATCAGGGCCATATAAAGGCTGTGCGAGCCTGGGCTTGAGGTGGGAACAAGTGATTCTCATCAGCAGTGGTCACTGAGACTGGCTGGAAGTGCTCCTAAAACTGCAGCTAGCAATTCTTGAAACAGGGAGTGAGACATGGCCGGTAGGGGCTGCACTCTGAATTCTGTAAGAGAGTTTGTCCCTGGGCTGATAAATGCTTTCTCTGCAGTATTTCTGATTTATTCTCCCTGTTCTTGCAGGCTCCCCGGGAAGCTCTTTCCCAGATGGTTCTGGCCGAAGTGCCTAAGCAGCTGGTGTCGTACTATAAATGGCAGGGATGGCCACCTGTGAAACCACCGGCAATAAAGACGATGTAGATTGCAGCCTGACTCTGGCCACCTGTATCACTGGGGTGAAGAGAGCTGTCTGCACCCACACTCTCCCTTGTGGGTGCTCAGTGTCTTGAAATTCACACTAATTCTCTTACCTGCTTGTGCTCTGTATCTTTGATCTTTCCTGTTCCTAACTGGAAGGAATGTAAATATGGAAAAAACACAACTGCTGGCAGTTTTTGTCACAGAAAAATAGAACTTGTTGGTTTTCCACCTTGCAACAGTGACACATCATATCACGCATCATTGCTTGACAAGGCCCGTCTGCTGCTTGGTATCAGCGTGGACATGTGCACCGAGCTGCTCACGCAGCACTGCTTCAATGCTGAGTTTGGTAGAAGTATTGCAGTTGTGTTTACTGTAATGATACTTATCATACGTTCCTTGATTGGTTTTTCTTCTTCCATCAAGCTGCCTTGGGAATGGGGACCCTTCTGTACTTGTTGGTACCAAAGTCTGTTGGTTGGATGCCTGAGGTAGTTCCTGTTGTGCCTTCATAAAGTGCCAGTCTATTTTTATATGTAGAGGTTTATTTTTAAATTTCAGTGACCATACCTTGCAATCTTTTTTTTAATCATGTTTTTCTATTAGCAATAATTGCTTCTGTGATGGCCTCTTGCTTGGAGCCATTGTTGCAATTTAAGAACACTGCACTTTGCATATTTGTGGGGGGATTAATGAGAATTAATCATTAATTAATCGGGGGATGGGGTGGGATTATTGAGTCACATTAATGTGACTTTCAAAATCCAGCAACTGGAAGCATTGAAATAAAGATGCTTTGAGTGATTTCTTTCTGTCACAGAAGTTACGAAATGAAGTAACTAACTATCTGTGGAACTCCAAAGAGGTGCTTCCTTGTCCTCAGAAGTGTGAAGTGTGTATTATGTGGTCTGGGGACTGTAGAACAGGCACGTGATAGCAAAGCACAATTCTTTTGAGAGACGGGAGTTGATAGTTCATTTCAAAATAGAGATACAGAAACTTGGGCTTGTCATCGCACTACAAGTGGTCATCACTTTCAGTTTCATAAATAAATAATCTGCTTTGACTTATATAACGTCTGGACTCTTATTTCCGTTCTGGGCTTTTCCTTTTGTTTTCCAGCAATGTGGATGTTTTGGTTTATGGAAGGTCTTTGCTATAGTACTAGCCTGGTGGTGATTCTGAGTTAGCCTAGGTTGAGTGTGATCAGCTGCAAAAGCAGAGCAAGTTGTCCATCATCATTAGTTTTGTTACCTGTTAATCACTAAGACTGCTGAATGTATATCTTGCAGCCCTATTCTGCAGTAAGATGAGCTGTTTCTTTACTGTGAAATTATGAAAGAACTTGCCTGCTCTACCAGGTAAACCAGGAAATGGTGAGAATATATTGGAAGACTGCCCTGGTGATTCAGCCTATGAAAGTGGTAGGTTACAAACCTGTGTGAAAGCAGAACCTGGGTTCGAATCCACATCTTCAACTAGACTGGTCGTTCTGAATGGTATCTGCCACCAAACTAGTATGTAGGTTGTGTTTGAAGGGCCGTGGGTCTAGGACCACTGCTGAGCAAAGATGAATTTGTGCTAGCTTTTTATTCAAACCTAGTTTTGACCGTGATGTGTTCTCCCAGGTTCCACAGGCAGCAGACAGCTTCTAGAGAAAGCTGGGCTGTCTTTCCTGAAATACTCCATCATCTAGCCTGCAGCACCCAATTTTCTTGCACTTAGATTCTAGAAGGAAACCAAGCAACCTCTCTTCTTGAGCGGCTGCCTAAACTAAAATGTGTTAGAAGTGTGGAAGAGAGGGAGGAAAACTGCCAAGTCTTCTCTGAGAAACTGCACTGTGGTTGAGAGCATCCTTTACTCATGTTTTCAGCTGCTTACAACCTGTAGGCAGACCTCTTCTTCCCTATGTTACAGATACACAAAAACCAGCCTTTGGTTTGCTTGTATCTTTTTTTTTTTCTTTTTAATCAAGTGTTCTTTAAAGGATATTTACAACAGTAGTTCTGAAGGCTCACCAATCCCTTGTTTGGACCAAGAAATACCGGTGGCAGTGTGTAGTGCTTGGCTTCAATGAATGAATGGTTTCTTTGGCAAGACGTCAGAGGCACGTTGGGACTTTCCTTTGTTCCACCCTTCAGGGGCAGAAGATGAGCTCTGAGACAAGAGAATGCATAGTGGGAAATCCATTTCACCTCTCGTTTTTAAACCTCTGCCAGTTCCCACTCAAAAGGAAGAGAGCGAATCCACCATCCCTCTGCACTGGCTATGGGGAGTGGAGTCACTGTTCTGTAGCTAGCCGAGGTGTCTCCAGGTACTGGACTCATTGATGGTAGGAGAGACCTTCCCTGTTTTGGGGAGGAAGAGGCCAAGATGGGGTAGAGGCAGGCCTGAGGAAGTTCTTCCGCCTGCGGAAGCAGAGGAGAATTTGGAGGACATACTGTTTACCCGCAGGTAAGTGGCTGAAATGTGAACAAGCAAAGGTAAACAAGTCCCGTGGTTGTCACTTAATATGAGAGCTGCACGGGTGTGGGCCCAGGTGAAAAGTCATGGGAGGGTCTTTCGGTATGGCACAGTTTTGCCTGTTTTCTCTCATTCTTGAGTCTCCCCAGGGCTCCTGGTTTTAGAGGCAGTGGAGACAGCTGCTGGGAGGTATGTCTCTTGCCTTGTGCTGCCCTGGGTATAGCTGGAATGCAGATTTATGGCTTGGTTGTCGCTTTAGGTAGGTTTGAGCTCAGGTTTTCTTCCTCAGGAGAATGTGCTGTTCTTGCCCAGTGCTGGTGCATGCTCTCCATCATCCCAGATCGCGTTCTTGCTTTATCTCCACAGTAAGTACGGGGAACACCCCAGAAGTCTCTTTACCGTGGCCTTGGCCGAGATTGAGCAAGCACCCTTGTACTTGCAGTCCCCAAAGGTATTTCAGCCTTGGGGCTTTGTATAAATCAAAAGCTATTGCACATGGGAGCTCATCAGGGAGGGTTTGTTTTGCTTCTAGGACACTTGGCAATAAATACTGGTGATATTTCATGCCAGACTACGCCATGCTACCTGAGCTCCCTCCTCTATGGGAGATAATGCTCCCCCCCCGTTTTTTGCCCAGACAGCTTGTTGGGCTAAGGGCCCAAGTATGGGGTCTAAAATGTTTGGTTCCCCCAGGGACTGTTTCACCAAAACCGAGGCACCATCTTCAGGTGAATGCAAGTGATGGGACTGCTCCGGGTGTTTGAGGAAGCCATACAAACTCCACTGGGAGATGACGGCTTTTGATCAGCTTTGAGCAAATGGTGGATCCACCCATCAGCAGCATACTTTGGTGGTCTGAATGTCTCATTAAACAGCCTAAATTGCACCCTTTGCCCCGCTCCAGCCATGAATGGGTGTGGGGTCAGTGCACTGAGCTTTCTGTGCTGCCCTAAACTGATCGGCTCCCTCATTTGGATTCACAAAAGTGGTGCTGAGTGCTGCCAGCCTGCTATGTTTCATTGCTGCACTGTGAAGTGGCATTGGTCCCCACTGTGGCTTGTTTCCAGCGCCACCGGTGCTGCTTCCCTGGCGCTCCAGGAAGCTTTTGTGTAAGAGGAAAATAGAGGGAATAACCGCAGGGCTTGCTTTGAAGCAGCCTGGCATTACATAGGCATGATTAACTCCTCTGTGTTTGCGGAGCTGGATTAGCCACCTGGCCTGCTGCAAGGAGCCCTGTAACGGCATGCATGGATGCAGGTGGTTGGTGCTGGGCAGTGAGTGGGAGAGCCAGACCCCCAGGAGGAAGAAGTGCTTTCCAAATCCTGCTGAGCTCATGATTTGTACGATCACTTTAATCTGGCCTAAATCTGTGCTCCAGAAGGGCTCTGGCATCTCTCTCTTACCCGTTCTTGTGCAGGTGAGATGAGCTGGTTCAGGCCAAGCTGGTGAGTGCAGCTGTGAGCACAGCTGGCTCCTGGCATGATGTGCCCCAGGTCTCCCTCCTGCACCCTCACTGCTGTGAGGGGCTGGTGCCAGCCCCTACGGAGCAGCTGGAGCTCCTATCCCTCCATCTGTGGATTTCATTGCTTGTCTCTGTCCTGCAGCTCTGGCGTCCCACCTACACCAGCTGAGCTCCTCTGGTCCCTTGTGTTAGCGTGCTCCTGTGCAGGGTAGGCAGGAGGTGAGCAGGGGCTGCTGAGCACAGTTTCCAAGCACAGTTTCCTCCCGTCAGGGGAGCCCAACCTTCCTAATCAGAGGGCCATGAGCCGGCTTGGCTGGCTTCCCTTCCCCACCCTCCCTCTGTTTGCTTTGGAGGCTTTTAACTACAGAAACTGTGATTTTGTGCTGGAGAAGCTGCAGGGCTGGGAGGGAGCAGAGCCAGGCTCCTGTCCTCGCTGCAGTGCTCAGGCTGGCGTCCTCCAGTCCCAGCTTTGGAAGCCCCTGTCCGCCCCAGGGCATCAGGCCTGCCCTGAAGCGTGGCCGTGTAATTTTCCCTTCTCCTTCCTTTCCCAGCCTGGGAAGGGAGAGTGCCCACCACTGCGCTCCCTGTCTCCAGCAGGCCTCTGCGTCGTCA